CTTTGAACTTTTCACTGCTGCAATGTTCTGGCATGCTGTTCTAACAACAGGAACCTTTAAATACTAAATAGTTGTGGGTGATAAGCAGGCCCTTTCCGTTGTCTAGTGCTAGATTGAGATAAATTTTGCAAAGAAAAATGGAAACAGCAAGAGAAGCTGGGTCAAATGTGACAAGACTAGATCTGGCCGAATATAGAATTATGACCCATAAGATGCAGCTAGATCTTGGATTATAAGATCCAGCTGAGATTAAGAGTGCAGGTCACAGTTTGATAAGAAATGAACAGAGGGCCTAACTCAATCCCAAAAGTTAGCTCATGAGGTGAGGATTGCCAAAAACTTTAAGGAAACTAATCACTACATCCCATGCCGATGTGGGACTCTAACACTCCCCTCACACGCAGGTCTGAACATTTGGAGCGTGGAAATATAATAACATGAGGGAGTAACATAGGGTAAACCAAGAATTAGGATGACTGTGACTCTGATACCATGATAAGAAATGGACTTAGGGAATAACTCAATCCCAAATGCTAGCTTATAATATGCGGATTGACCAAGACCATTTAAGGAAACAAATTACCACATCCTACACTGATGTAGGACTCTAACACCACTATTTCTACTTGTCTCCTTAACTATTCTTGAATTTTGAGTCTGAAATTCACTTACCATGTGGATCTTTTATTATTCATATTTCATACAACAGCTTGATATTTTTCCATTTCATTCAGGCGGCGTGACTTAACAGATTTTGTCCTGTGGCTTACTGAGTTCTGAGTAATTAGTGATTATATATTTATATGCTCTAGGGTATCATGCCATACATTCATTCATAGCCTTGGTCTAGAGTTGTTCTTCCTGAAGCTGTGAATTTCCGTTCAGTAACTGATTGGTGGGTTTCCTTGCTGGCATGTTCAGTAATGGATATCTGAAGTGGAAGCACATCACTAAAACTGTCATTTTGTGTTGGCCTTTTTCACCAGATTCTATACAAAAGCCGATGCGATAATAGATTAAATGAGATAAGTGCAAGAACTTCTGCTGACAAAAGAGAGGTAATACTTATTTGAGCATAACAAATTTGAACACGTCCAATGATTTTGTGGTGTAATAAAATTGACAATTTTACAGGTCGAATTACTGGCTAAAAAATATGAAGAGAAATACAAGCAGGCTGGAGATGTTGCTTCTAAATTGACAATTGAGGAGGCCACGTTTCGGGATATTCAAGTACTACTGTAGCTCTTTCTAGCCCACTGCACTGATACTAACTCTTATGTTCTACTAGCGTCTAGTAAATTGTGCAAATCTAGTAGAGCTTTTGTTGTGATAGTGTTCTGCTGAAACCTTTGCAGGAGAAAAAAATGGAGCTGTATAGAACAATTGTCAAAATGGATCAAGCTGGTAAAACTGATGGTATCCAGGTAGTATGTTTTTCCACTAATAGATTCGCTAGAGATATCTAGAATTTATCTAAATTCAGTCTCTGGTTTTTGTAGGACCGTGCTAATCAGATTCAGGGCGACCTTGAGGGCCTAGTGAAAAATTTGAATGAACGCTGCAAAACTTATGGGCTACGGGCCAAACCAACTACTCTGCTTGAGCTTCCATTTGGTACTGGCGCTTGAATTTTTGTTGTTCTGCAATTATATGTGCTTTCATTTAGTTATTTTGTGTGTTCTTTATTCTTGATATCATAAAATTCAGATTAAAAACATTGGTGTAAATTTATTTCTAGCATTTCCTGTTATTTTTGGTTCTGAGTTGACCCCATATGAGTCATTGTTATTTGCAACAAATTTTTGTTCTACTGGGCTGTTTAGTTGTTCTTTAAAGTGTCATTTATGTTTTGGCCTTCCTTTTGGCACCTGAGTTCAGTGTAGTACTTAAGTAGGGGGTATCTTGCTGGCTGCATTAGGATTTGTTCCAGTTCTGTAGTTTTCTATTCTTGTTGTTTATATAGATAAAATAGCACCAATTGATCATATGAGGATGTAATCTGTGGCAAGTATACTAAAGAGGAGTATTTACATATTATAATTTCTCTAATGAGACCTATTCCTTTATATTTAAATCTTGTGTATCTGGATCATGAGTTGGGACTAATTCTGATGTTCAAGAGATGTGTGTGTTCATCTAATGGTCAGGACGTCGGTGGGAAAATGGGATAGCATGCCATTTTGATGACTCTTGTATTTTTTACCTGAGCTGTCTAGTTTTTAATTGCTTTACTTTTTTGATGTTTCTGACATATTAGTAATAATTTTAAAGGTTGGCAACCTGGCATCCAAGAGGGGGCAGCAGACTGGGATGGAGAGTGGGATAAATTTGACGATGAAGGTACGTTGTAAGATATATATTTAATCAAAAGACGGATATCTCCCTGAAAAGGAGGTGATCCATCCCCACCTTCCAGTACGGCTACCTTGTTACGATCAAAGTGCCTCCAGAGACCACCTGATCACTTCTGTCAGTTTTAGATAAAAAAAACTTAACCTTCATAGTGCCTTCAGAGATGACTGAATCAACTTTTTCTCCTCCCTAAACTTTGAGCAATTTAATTTTTAACTTTTTCAAGTTTTTAATAAATTTTAACTCATTGCATTGTTGAATAATTGTCCTCCACAGAATTCACATTTGTGAAAGAGCTCAATCTTGACGTACAAAATGTCATTGCCCCTCCTAAACCAAAATCTTCACTGGTTCGGGAGAAAGCATCTTCTTTGAATGACCATGATACTGGAAAATTATCTGCTGATGCTGGCACTGATGCAAAGTCAGAGAAGTTGCCAAGCCCTGTAAAAACCAGAGTGATGAGTGATGTGGAGACTGCCCATACAGTAAGAAGTTCAACTAATAGTCCAACCAGGAGTAATGCAGTTGAGAGTCCATCAAAGGAATTTGAAGAATCACTGAATAGGAAGGACGGTACTTTTGATGGTTCTCCCCATGCTGCCCAAAGGTAACGTGGTTGTTTTCGTCCTTCTTTTTTGGTGATTTATCTACAGTGGTGTTATGCCCTCCAAATAATGAAAGAGCTTTTCTGTTATTCAATTGTATTATTTGATGGATTCAGTTTCTCTTAACTGTTAACTTTTCTAGAAATCTGAACTTCTGTATTACTAGTGCAGTGAACACTGGGGAGCTGAATCTGTGTTCTCTGGGGACAAAAGTTTTGATGAATCTGGTTGGGGTACATTTGATACAGACCTTGATGCAGATGCTGCGTGGGACATCAATTCTGCTGCTAAGGTAAATGGATACATCTTCATTTTAGTTACAAAAAAGAAGAAAAAAGAAGAGGCAAATGGATACATTTACATTTTCATTTATTCACTTTTTCGATTACTATGCTATAGGAAAATAATTGTCAGGGTCCATCATCAATGGTTCTTTGAACTATAACCTTTTCTGAAGCATCTCTTTGCCTGACTTTTTTTTTTTTGGGGTGGGGGGTCACTGCATCTTCTGGTGCACTGGCTCAGTTGAAGGAGCGTTTCATATTTTGCTTCTTTTCTGTGATTTTGCAGGATTCTCGTGATGAGAAGCACAAGGAAACTTCTCTTTTTGATGATGACGACTGGGGCCTGAAGCCCATAAAAACGGGATCCACAAATTCCAGCAACTCGTTCCCGAAGCAAGCCCCATTTTTCGATTCTGTTCCTAGCACCCCTAGTGATAATACTGGGTTTAGTTACTCAGAGAACCAGTTCCCAAAGCAAAGCCCATTCTTTGATTCTGTTCCAAGCACACCAAGTAACAACTCTGGATTCCCACAGGGAGACAACTTGTTCTCTAGACCAAGTCCCTTCTTTGATTCTGTTCCCAGCACACCGGCCTATAACACAGGTGGCTCGCCTGTTCCTGACAACATGTTCCAGAAAAAGAGTCCATTTTCCTTTGCGGACTCGGTTCCAGGCACACCTATGTTTAGCTCTACCAACTCACCTCGAAGATCTAATGAATTGTCTGAAGATCACTTGAACAGCTTTTCCAGATACGATTCATTCAACATGCAAGATGGTGGCCTCTTTGATAGTCGTGAATTTTCAAGATTTGATTCCATGCGCAGCACCAGAGACTCTGAATACGATAATGGTTCATTCCAGCAGCGTGACTCCTTTGCTCGGTTTGATTCATTCCGCAGCACAGCAGACTCTGATTATAATTTTGGAGCCTTTCCAGCTCGTGAGTCACTATCAAGGTTTGATTCCATCCGTAGCAGCAGGGACTCAGATTATGGTCATGGTTTCCCATCTTTTGATGATGCTGATCCATTTGGGTCTCATGAACCATTTAAGACATCTGCGGAGAATCAGACACCAAAGAGAGATTCTGATAATTGGAAAGCATTTTAATATGGTAATGGATTTCCTTACTCCGGATGCAATCTCTTTCTCTTTTCTTTTTTCCTTCCATTTAAAACTATTTTTGGCCAGGTTTTTAGGTTGTAGGGATAGTGAATTGGTTGTGATTAGATAGTCTTTCTGTGTGGCATGAGGTAGCATTATGATAAGTTGTACTCCCTAATATTATTTCATTATTTTTTTCTATTTTTTTTTGTTTGTTTTTGTTTTTGTTTTTAGCCAAGGGGTTTATTTTGACCTTTTTCTTTCTTGCATTAATTCTTCGAACGTGAAGGTGAACAGAACTTATGTTGTGTTCCACCCATACCCATATTCAATGTATAAAAACTTGTAAAATGGTCTTTTCATTTTTGTTAACTGCTATAATCTAGTCGAGAGTGATTTGTTCCCACTTGACTGCCAGTTATTATGATAATAGTTGATTGAGGATTGTAGTAGGATCATATAAATCACATGTATTCATTTCACATAATTTGGCATTCAAATGATTTTTGACTGTTGTAATATGATTATGTTAGCCGAGGATCTTCCGGAAACAACCTTTCTACCTGGTAAGGTTTGCGTACATTCTACCCTTCCTAGATTCCACTTGTGGAATTTCACTCTGAGTATGTTGTTGTTATATGTCAATGTTGATTGCCTATCACAACCTTGTCTTTTGTTCGAACTTGGAACTGGTTCAAGAAATTTACAGAGACTACTACTAACCCTCACTAAAATTTTCTTGGATAACTAGTAGAATCCCTGATGGAACAATCAAATTCAATACAAGCAGGTCGGAACTTGAGGAAAACTTATTCTCATAGGAGAATCAGTCTGATCTTATTATACACACACATTTTATAATTATTTTTTCCTGCATATGCAACGAGTTCTATTGAACCCACGATTCATCTCTGCTGACTCAATGACGTGACAAAAGTAAATATGTCCTTGGGAGTAACTTGAACTCAACCTAAGCCAGAGAGTACGCGATATATGTCTAAGGATTCAATTAAATAGTAATGTGAAGCAAGTAGCCAGCCATCTTCAAGCTTTGACTCCAAAAATCTCCAACATGGAAGAGTAAGTTCCATAGACAGAAAGAACTGCACCCATTAAAACAAGTGCAGCATCAAAAGCCAAACCATGCCAGCTTAGTTCTTTGTTGAATACAATTAAGTGAAACATAGCAGGCAACACAATGCCAAGAACAATGCACACACTGCTCCCAACTAGTGACAAGAAATCAGCAAAATTTGGCACCTTAAATGCCACTAAAGTGACTGCCAAAACCATTATCCATCTCAGCCACAAAGAGTATCTTCCTTCACAAAATCTTCTTTCCATCACTTCATAAACAGGGTTCATCATAAGTGGGAAAGATAAAAATAGATTTATGCATAGTCCAATCTGCACTAAGGTGCTTAACAATCCCCTCCCAAGATTAGTAGTGATTATATCTTTGGTCTCTTCACCAAAGGCAAAATAACCCAATACTCCAAAAGAACCATACATCAAAGAAATGAAAACCATGGACAAACCCAAAATTTTCCCAAATTTGTCCTTGTCTTTCATCTCTGCTTCCAAAGGTAAAACCATTCCAACACCTTCAAAAGCATAGATAGATACACCAAGACCATAGAAGAAAACACTAAACCCACCAAATGCTTCAAGAACTGGTCTATTCTTGAGAAAAATCAACACATCCTCAACCATAACAACCCCCATAGCACCCAAATCAACAACATCAGCAAATATACTCAAAGGGGCTAAATGGGTGAGTGTAGGAATTGAATTCAACCCCAACTGAAATGGGAAACAACTCCAAATATACACCTTTTTAGGTGACAAACCCAAGATTTTGGGATTTGAATAATTGAACAAGTGTGCTAAAGTATTAGCTATAAAAATCAAGTAACTGATGCAAAAACCAGCTTGGGAAAGAACAATCATAGCATCAACTGTACATCTACCTATGGATCCACAAACAGCATATCCCAAATCACCAAAAGATGAAATCTTGATAACTTTGTAATGGGATTCAAGCTTTCGTCTCGAATAGATCAGAAGCATCATACAATAGTAAGTAAGAGAGGATACTGATAAAAGCATGAGAGAACCCATAACCCATCCTGTTTTCTTGAAACTATAAGGAAGGCCAAGAACTCCAGCTCCAACTACTGCTATGAAAACATTAGCAAAAGTTTTGGAGGATGAAGAAAGGTGTTGGGTGTTTGCTAAAAGTGGTGTATCTTCTCTTGGGATTCGCAAAACATGGGAAGATGAACTTGCTCTGTTTTTACCAAACCCCATTGCACCAAATGAAATCAAGAATCCAATTTTAAGTACAAAAAACCAGAAAAGATCAAAACTTTATTGATTTTAACTACTCAATAGTAGATTTGCAGATCAAATAGTAGTGTTAGAAAATGTTTGAGAGTTAGAAAATGGTGTGTAGTGGAGTTAAGAGGGAGTTTTAAAGATGAGAAAATGGCTGCAGTTTCTAACCAAGTGAGAGAAAATTGCAGAAGACCAGATTTGTTAACTGAAAAATCTGTACAAGCTTTTTTCTTGTCCAAAAGAAATCGTATCACTTTGATGAAAACAGTACAGATGGTCGGTTGTAAGAGGTAGTTTCAAGGGTTTAAGTGTCTCTGCTTCCAAAGGTAAAACCATTCCAACACCTTCAAAAGCATAGATAGATACACCAAGACCATAGAAGAAAACACTAAACCCACCAAATGCTTCAAGAACTGGTCTATTCTTGAGAAAAATCAACACATCCTCAACCATAACAACCCCCATAGCACCCAAATCAACAACATCAGCAAATATACTCAAAGGGGCTAAATGGGTGAGTGTAGGAATTGAATTCAACCCCAACTGAAATGGGAAACAACTCCAAATATACACCTTTTTAGGTGACAAACCCAAGATTTTGGGATTTGAATAATTGAACAAGTGTGCTAAAGTATTAGCTATAAAAATCAAGTAACTGATGCAAAAACCAGCTTGGGAAAGAACAATCATAGCATCAACTGTACATCTACCTATGGATCCACAAACAGCATATCCCAAATCACCAAAAGATGAAATCTTGATAACTTTGTAATGGGATTCAAGCTTTCGTCTCGAATAGATCAGAAGCATCATACAATAGTAAGTAAGAGAGGATACTGATAAAAGCATGAGAGAACCCATAACCCATCCTGTTTTCTTGAAACTATAAGGAAGGCCAAGAACTCCAGCTCCAACTACTGCTATGAAAACATTAGCAAAAGTTTTGGAGGATGAAGAAAGGTGTTGGGTGTTTGCTAAAAGTGGTGTATCTTCTCTTGGGATTCGCAAAACATGGGAAGATGAACTTGCTCTGTTTTTACCAAACCCCATTGCACCAAATGAAATCAAGAATCCAATTTTAAGTACAAAAAACCAGAAAAGATCAAAACTTTATTGATTTTAACTACTCAATAGTAGATTTGCAGATCAAATAGTAGTGTTAGAAAATGTTTGAGAGTTAGAAAATGGTGTGTAGTGGAGTTAAGAGGGAGTTTTAAAGATGAGAAAATGGCTGCAGTTTCTAACCAAGTGAGAGAAAATTGCAGAAGACCAGATTTGTTAACTGAAAAATCTGTACAAGCTTTTTTCTTGTCCAAAAGAAATCGTATCACTTTGATGAAAACAGTACAGATGGTCGGTTGTAAGAGGTAGTTTCAAGGGTTTAAGTGTTTTATATATATATATATATATATATATATTTTTTTTTTTTTTTTTTTGTGTGTTAATAGAGTTTAAGTTTAGTTAGTTGGGTTTAAGCGTCTCATTCGTTAGTATTTTCATTTTGAGAAAATATTACAAATAATCAAATAACTGTAAAGCTATGATTCATAAGTACTAAATATTTTTCTGAAAATAAAAAGTAAGTTTTACAACAACAAAAAAAGAATGGACGCTATTTTTTTATTTGTTTTTGTCATCTTCAATATCTGTCATTTATTTCTGTGTTTAGACAAAATTATTACTCCCTCAGTCCCAATTTATGTGACACTTTTCATTTTTCGAGAGTCAAACACAGGAATTTATGAGTGAAATATTCAAATTCTTGATATGAAATTTATATATTTGTGAACTATCTAAAAAGTACTATAATTAATAATTCAAAATGTTTAAAAGATGTATAAAAAACTTACGATCAAAGATAGACTTGTTTTGAATTTCAAAATCTAAAAATGCCACCTAAAATGGGACGGAGAGAGTAGTTCTTTTATTTTTTGAGAGAGAGATGTAAGCAGAAGGTATAACATATGAGTGATCTTGACCACACTCCTTTTTTTTCCATCTAGAAATGAGTATTGAGAAGTACCCTTTGAATTAGTTTAAGTTTGTTGAGAATGAGTAGATAATTATGTATGTTTGGGAATTTATCTTATAATATCATTTTTGTTTTTTAGGATCATAATATCACCTGATTATTTCAACTTTTCCTCAAAATATATTGCTCTTTCCTAATGAAATATCATGAAAAAACAGAGCAACAATGTAACTAAGAAGGGTTTTTCCTTTTACTATAATATATTCTTATCCATGAAATCCTCTCTTTCAACTGCTAAAGTTCAAGATTCGTAATACCTGATTGAAATAAGGAAATGTCATTGCTAATACCCTAACTCTTCATCAGACTGCAACAAAAAAGAGAGCTAAGATTGGGTACTCTCATGCAGTGACGAAGCTAGAAATTTTACGACGGGTGTCCAAATATTACATAAGTAATTTTTTTTCGATGAATGGATGCATTGAAAAAATTAAAATTGAACTACATATTATTAATATTACTTTTTTTTTATGGAGAAGAGGAGAAGAAGAAGCAAGGTTCGTAGAGATCGTCGTGGATTTCGTCGGGGGTGATCCCTAATAAGGTATGTGAGACCATAGTGTTGAGAAGGTTCATTCCCCCACACGCCAACTTGTTTTAATTTCGAGAAAAGATTGGGTGTGTTTGTTGAAGTTTGTGGTTTGTGTTTGTTGAAGTTGTGGTTGTGTTATTGAAGTTTCTTGTTGGTTTGGTGCATGTTTCCGGTTGTGATTTCGAGTTGAATCCATTGTATGTTAAGAGGTTTTATGATTCTAAGTGTTTGGGGCTAGAACCTTTGAAGTTAAGAAGGTTTAGAGTTGGAAAAACAAAGGAGAAAAGTCGGATTTTCGGGGAAAAAGGCTGGGGCGTCGCGCCAGCCAGCACGCCCCAAAAGGGACTCTGAGCTTCCACCCTTGGGGCGGCGCGCCTTGCAGAGCGCCCAGCAGGCCCCTCTGAAATCTGAAGGCTGGCTCCCCGCGCCTCTTAGAGTGCCAAGGACGCCAATCCTTCCCATTCCTTCCCCACTTTTTCATACATGTTCCTTGGTAATGTACCTATGTTTTATAGTTGTTTTCAACACTCTAAGGTACATCTAGACATCCCGAACTCATCCATTAATATGAGATCATTACCCTTGAATCCATAATACAATTCGAGGAAGTTAGGATCAAAGTCAAGTGAAGTTAGAGTCAAGCTTAGAAGTTAAGAGGTAAGTCAAAGCAAGTCTTTAAAGTTTTTTCAAGAGTCTTTATTGAATGTTTTAACTTCATTTTTAGGCTCAAGTTTCAAGTTAAGTAAAGAGTATAGAGTTTCAAAGAGTATAGAGTTTCAAGTTAAGTAAAGAATATAGAGTCAAGTTCATTTCTCAAAAGTTATTAGGGAACTAAGTATTCCCAAAGAAGTTTATAAATGTTTTCACATTTAAGAGGAGATGAAACTGAGATTTCCATAAGAGTTTTGAGCAGTTTGAGTACTATCTCTTTTAAGAAAAAAATGAGTTTTGCGAAAGAGTTTCTAAAACATGATTAGTATGACAACCGAGTATGTCATCAGTGTTTAAACAGTATGGTCTCTAGATATACCATCAATGTTTATGCAGTATGACTTCCCGAGTCATCAATGATCATATTAAAATATGATTTTGATATGTTCTTTTTAGAAAGAGTTTTCAAGAGCAATTACCTCTCTTAAGAGGGTAGTTTGAGCAACTAATTCAAACTAGAGAAATAAGTTTATTTTTAAAACATATGAGCTAAAGTATATTTTTGGGAATAGTCTTGAGCACCGAATTGGGGACGCAAGTTCATATTAGCTCAACTCTCCATAAGAACCATCTAGCCAACATGGGATTTAACGGGTCATACTTTTTAGATGATCACGCAAAGTTAAGCTAGTGGATCCACT